TCTGTACTTGAGAAAAAACCCCAATCTATTATAGTAATGTTTGACATTCAAAGTGTATCCATAGATTTATAAATGCTTTAATATATTTTATTACAAAGACTTTGGATTAATTCAAATGGCAAGCATGAGCTAGTAAGAGGTCCAAGGACATGGTTTTGAATGGTGGGTATGGTGGAGGGAAAGATGAAGGGGCACCCAGAACCCCCAAACCTGCCTGCTCTAAATAGGTTCTGCCATCTGGTGCATCAAGAGAAAACATACTCTAGTGCATAAGGTATTTAATAGAAAGTAACTTTAATACAGTTAGTGTGCAATAAAGAGAAGAAAAAGAATATACTTAAAATAGTTTCCAATTAAACATCCAAAGTTACCCATCTGCTGTGGGTAAATGCCCAGCCAAGCCAGGTTGGCCCAAAGCAGAATCGCTGAGGCCCAACAGCTTACCAGAAGTCTAAGGCACCTTCTGGTGGGGACACAAAGCAAAGGGGCAGAAGGGGCCAGACAAGTCTGGAAGAAGTAAAATCAATGTCAAGATAAAGGCTGCCATTGTTAACATCCCCACAGGTCTGCACCCATGTCTGTTCAAGTGTCTCTGCACATGTTCCCCAAATCCTTGGTACCAGTGCAAGGCTGAGAAGCAAGTGCCGCTTATTAACACATCTCTCTGCTCCATGTGCCTTCTCCAGGTCTCCTTGATCTCTCCCCATTTCTCCTCAGCCAGGTCTTCTCTCTCTCAGTCCTTTTCTCAGTATTTTCTAGTTTCAGCTCCCTGCCCAGCATCACCTTTCTTAGAGGAGGGCAGGGGACCTGTAACCTCTCCTTTCTCTGGGGCTTACCCTGTTACAGGTAGACAACTAATGGACATATCTGTTTCATGATCTTATATCACTTCTGACATGAATGAATGCCAGTAGTTACTGAATGCCTAGCATTGCCTCCCAGAAGTTTGTATAGGATTTTTTACAATGTAATTTTATGTTCCTTGCTGATTGCTTAGGGAAAATGTGGATGGGCCATTGCAAATGTGTTAGTAAGTTTAGGGAAGACATTTCAACATTTACCACGCTGGAAGGTGGCTTAGTGGTAGCACTTCATATTCAAAGGGATAAGCAGACAGTTGTTCTGGCCCCTGCTTTGTGACCAGTCAAAAAGTAGGGAAAAATTTTTCTAAGCCCAGGTTTCCTAATCTATAAAATGGGCTTAATAATATATGCCCAATTTGCCTTCCAGGTTTGAGGGGAAGATCAAAAGGAGAATTGTTAATGTTGATCAGAATTCTAATGAATGATTTTGGTCTTCTTTCACTCTGTCTAATATGTATTTGGTGACTTCTCTTAGGGTTCAGGTGGTATTCAACTATACTAATAAACTAGTGACTAGGTCTCAAACAAGCCAATGATTGGCTTAGGAAGCAGGGTGAGATGATCTGTAACTCAGAAACCTCTGGAACTGACATGAACACTGGTTTTGGAGGTAAGATTATAAAGATTGACAGTGGAAATTTATCATGAAATAATGCTGGCATCTCCACTGTTAACATAAATTAAACCTAATAAGCCTTCAAAACATTTTACAGTCAACTAAGATATCCCCGAATCATTTTATAACCTTATTTGTGCTTTTTGTCATCAGAACTCTTCAGGACCAACACAGATATTTGAAACCCTCCTTTCTCAGTTCTTTCTACCTTTTGAATGTTGTAACTTTTGATCATTGACCTATAGGACAGTAAGAGGAAAAAAAAGGAACCTAAATAATATGGGTACTTTACCATCAAGATAGGTATTATTCATTTGATTATTAATCTGTTATTGTTGGCTTGTTTATTCACACATTCATTCAAAATCTATGAAGAAACGCTAGAAATCTGTAGAGTTGCAGAGAGGAGAGGGATGATGAAGCACAAAGTGTGGAGGGGTCCTAGAACAGTGAAGGACTATCGGTGCTTTGGTGGTGGTGTGATGTGGCAACAGACATTTGGTGAGATGTGATCCTATACCTCTGAGTCACAGTGTGCTTTTATTGTAAAATGAAGCATATATACAAAAGAAAATGTATCACAAACATGTACAGCTTAAGGAATGATATAAAAACAACACCTGTGAATCTACTACAAAGTTTATTTGGTAATTAAGTCCCCTTAACCTCCTCATTTACATTCACACCTAGTCCACTCACCTGACATCTTTTTCTAAATCTCTTAGCAAAGTAAGAATTGGTGGGAATTCCCTTAATGTGGTGAGGGCTTATACAAAAACCTTTTAGCTAACTGCATGCTGAAAGCTTTTCTCCTAGGATAGGACACTGGAAAAGGATATTCAATATCTCCACTTGTATTTAACATTTTACTGGAGGTCTTAGCAAGTGTGAGAAGGTAAGAAAAAGAAGTAGGCACACAGGTATAAAAAGAAGTAAAATTGTCATTATTTATAGTAAACATGATTTTGTATATAGAAAATCCTAAGGAATTTATGAGGAAACTACCAGAAGTTAAAAGTGAATTTAGCAGTCCTATTATTGGAGAACAAGGTCAATATACAAAATGCCATAGTATTTTCTTTTGGGGGGAGGTTTCTTCTTTTGTATAACTCTTTTATTTGTAGTGCTTTATGTTTACTTGTTTAAATTGATGTGCCATTGGTTTAAAACATTATATAGGTTTCAGGTGTATGGCATTCCAATTCGACATCTGTGTATACCACATATGATCACCACCAAAAGTCTATTTTTCACTCATCACCATACAATTGAACCTCCATTTTACACCTCCCCTCTCCCTCTGGTGATCATCATTTTGTTCTTATAATCCAAGAGTTTTTTTGTTCCTGCATTCTTTATCTTCCACATGAGTGGAATCAAATGGTATTTGCTTTTCTTTTAACATTTCACTAAATATAATGCTGTCTACATCCATACATGTTGTTGCAAATAGCAGGCTTTCATGTTTTTTTTTTTTAATTTTTTTTTTTTTAAGTTTTAATTTTATTTATTTATACAAGCACTGGGTACAGTCAGAATCACGGGAGGGTGAGAGAATTCACCAGAGCCAGAGCGGGGAGCAGAGCAGGCAGAAGGACTGAAGCACACTGCTGAGGGGAGCAGCGGGGCAGGAGAGGTCTGCGCACCATGTGGGACCCTCCTCCGGTGGCTGGGGAGCAGCCGGGGATCGAACCGGCGCTGCAGAGGCCGCGGGCAGCTTCTCAACCCAGCGCTCAACCGCTGCGCCACCGGGGAAGCCTTTTTTTTTTTTTTAATTTTTAAAAAAGATTTATTTATTTATGCATACAAGAGCTGGGGTACAGGCCAGATGTGCGGGGAGTGAGAGGATTCACCAGAGACAGAGTGGGGAACAGAACAGGCAGACTGACTGAAATACACTGCTCAGGCGAGCAGGGGGCAAGACAGGAGAGGTCTGCTGCACCATGTGGGCAGCTCCCTGGCTGGCCGGGGATTGAACTCCTGCTGCAGAGGCCACGGATTGCTTCATAGTGCAGTGCTTAACCACTTGTACCACCAGGGAGGCCCTCATGTTTTTATTTTTAATATTCGAGTAGTATTGCATTGTGTGTACAAATCATATCTTTTGCCATCCATCCATATCCATCAATGGCTTGTTTCCATATCTTGGCTTTTGTGAATAATTCCACAATGAGCACAGGGATGTATGTATCTTTTCCAATTAGTATTTTCACATCCTTCATATAAACACCCAGAAGTGGTACAGCTGGCTCATATGGCATTTCCATCATAATATTTTCTATATATGACCTTTCTGCCCAATAGTTGGGGTAGTTCAAGTATCTGCCTTTATGGGGCATCCTAGCAGAAGCGTGCCTGGCCAGGTAGCAAAAGTATGGGGTGAAGGGGTGGTGGTGGTGGTGGGGAAAGAACTCATGTGCTGTGAAGGTTCAAAGGAAGACTTGGGGGCACTGGCACCTTGTATTTCTGTAGTCCCATCTCCACCTTAGCTCTTGCCTTGCTGCAGCCATTCCCAAAAAATGGCCCCCATTTTTTGGCACGGGTGGGTTGCCCCGGCTCTGAGAGGGCTCTGATTTTCCCTTAGGGGGCTGGGGGGAGCCACAACCACGGATTGGGATTACAAGTTCCCTGCCCTTGCCTGGCCGCTCCCTACCTCCAATCCCTGCATTTCAAGCTGGCCCCCATTATTTATTTATTTATTTATTTATTTATTTATTTATTTAAAATTTTATTTTTATATTCCCCATACAATTGCAACCCATTTTGACCCAATCCCTCCTCCCCCCCTCCCCTCCACCCAGTGTGTCTCTAGTTCATAGTTGTTTGTTGATTTTGATTTTTTCTTTCTTATAGCTATTCTTTTTCCTGGTCCCTTATTTAGGTTTTCTAAATTCCTGCTATGAGTGAGACCATCCGGTATTTTTCTTTTTCTTTCTGGCTTATTTCGCTGAGCATGATCCCTTCCAGCTTCATCCATGTTGCTGCAAATTGCATGAGTAGCTTTATTGATTGCTGAGTAATATTCCATGGTGTATATGTACCACACCTTCTCGATCCAGTCATCTATTTTTGGGCATTTGGGTTGTTTCCAAAGCTTAGCTATTGTAAACAGTGCTGCTATAAACATAGGGGAGCAGGTGCTCTTTGGAATTGATGTTTCTGTGTCCTTTGGGTAAATACCTAGGAGTGGAATTGCTGGATCATATGGAAGCTCTATCTTTAGTAGGTTGAGGAATCTCCACACAAGCTGGCCCCCATTTTTTGGCACGGGTGGGTTGCCCCGGCTCTGAGCGGGCTTTGGTTTTCCCTTAGGGGGCTGGGGGAGGTGAGGAGGAAAAGGCCAGGAGCCCTGGGTCCTGCAGGAGGTTGGGCATGGCCGACTGTTGGGCTCCCGGCCTCGGGCCTCAGCGGTCCTGAACCGTCGCTGGCCTGGAGCGCAAGGCGCCCCCGCGAGCCCAAACGCCTGAACACGAGGGCAGGAGAGACCGCTGGCGGGCGGTTGGGAGGCCTTTGCAGTTGGGCACGGGGCCTGGGAGCCGTTTCTCCTACCTGAGGGAAGCAGCCACACGCCAGACCGCGCCTGCTGGGCCCAGAGGAACGTTAGTCAGGCAGCTTTGAGTTCAGGAGTCGCTGCCCTGGCAACAGCACAGAAACTGCTTTCTGCCCGTAACTTTCTCAGAGAGCTTCGCGGTCTGTGGCTGTAGGTTCATCCCTCCTCTGCCTCTTCAGCCTGGTCTGTCTGGCCAGGATCCCTGACTTGCTCGGACCCCTCCTCCGTCCTATTGGCTGTTGGCGTTTGTTCTACCAAGATAGCTACTTTTACATCCCTCGGTTTTACAGTACTGGGAAGACGTGGTATCTCGACCTCTTAAAATGGCTCTGAAGAGGCTGGTGCTGCACACCCACTTCCAGGATGTGTGCCACTCGACGGTCACCCAGAAGCCCTCCAGTCACCCCCAGATCCTGAGGGCCCAAGGACAGTGTAAAAAGGCACAGTGAGAGGGACTGTCAACCAGTGCTAAAGGCAGGATGTTTGGAGAAGAGGCCTCCATACCTGGTAGTGTACCATCAACATCTAGATCTCTGGAGGGGACTAGAGGGACAATTCCTTCAGGTGCCAAGCTGGGTTTCTGAAGGGAAAGCTCTTATCCAAATCTCAGAAGATAATTTAAGAAAAGCCACAGTGCTCTCTGAGCTCCTTCACCAAAGGCCATGCCATTCCCAGCTTATGGGCTGTGTTGGAGGTGTCCTGCCTCTTTGGAGGGGTGATCCAGGTACAGCAGGGCTCTCTGGTCCAAAGCTCCTGTTTCTCAAGATGTTGTCAAAGGCAGTGCTTGAGGAAGGCCATCAACTCCCTGATCAAGAAGATGATACAGGGAGAAAAATCTTTCAAACCTGTCAAGCAGGAGTTCCCTAGGGCAACTACTATTTATGGGTCTTGCAAATGGAAAATTTCAATGTCACTGCTGGGCCACTGCCACCAACCATTGTAGGGTGATGAGCTGCCCTCACCTCCTCCCTCCCTCCGCTTCCTTGTACAGTCATTGCTGGGCTTTGAGAAGACTGCTGAATACCAATGGTGTGATAAGGTCTTGGAGGTGAAAACTGAGGCCGTGTCAGACTGCAGGGCCACTTAGTCTGCCCTTGGCCACCTTGAACTTGCAGATCTAGGTTACAAAAACAGTACCAGTCACTGACCTATGTGCCAGGCCCCCAATCCTCTCTGGCCCTTTACCTTCTCCCACACTGGAGATTGGTTATGAAGTGAGATGTACTGTTCCTAATTCTTTTTGCTGTTTATTCCCCTTTAGGTTTAAGCTCCCTTAGGGGTTCCACTTAGGAGGAAGAATCTGATTCCTTGCATCCCTGTGCCTCAGCCATAGCTGCAGCACATTCTACTTTGATCTCCCTACATCTGGATACTTTTCTTCAAGCCTGCCTCCTGCAGAACGGAGTCTCTACACTTATGGTTAGAGATTCTCCTCCTTTTATCTGACAGACCCCTTCTACAGTCACCTCCACCAGTACCTAGTCTTTGCTTGCCAGTTCATCATTGCTTTTGGAGATACATTGACCACCACAACAGGCACATCTGCATACTTAGAACTTTGGTGTCACTGACATGGCGCCACTTATTCCCATGATTTCACCTTGAGGTCTCTCCCAGATTCTAGGGGGAACTTTTCCCCATTTTTCTATGGCACTTCCTGGAACTGAGAACTTGTCACCCTAGTGGCAGCATTGCCTCAGACCTGGTTTCTACCAGCCTGCCTGCAGGTGCTCTAGGCCCTTGTGTCTCCATTTAAAATGAGGCCACCTAGACTTCTTTCACTCCCCCACCCCCTGGCTAAAACACAGGGGGTACAAGGGACTTCCCTTTCTGCATATAGTCAGTATACTTGTTCTCCCTTATGCCCCTTGATGCCCCCGGCTACAGGGTGAGTTCCATTTCTTTTGCCTAGGTCATTTGTGAGGAGCAGATATCTTCTGCAAAGGCTCCATGCTCTACTAACCTATTTGAAGGTATGATCAGCAGCCTTACCATAAACTCTCAACCTTCCCTTGGACCCAGGAGCTCACATTTGGGGCCTCTAATGGGGCCCAATGAGTGGTATTGGCCTTTCTGAACACTCTGTATCCAAGCCTACCTTTGACTCTGATGAAATTGACATTGATACCACACCCCCTCCCTAGGCTGTCATCTCTGGTCTCCTCCATCTCCAGTGATGGCATCTCCCCATTTCCCATGGAGCTTCTTGGTTCTGAGAACACACTACCCAGTGGCAGTATTGCCTCAGATCTAGTTTCCATTAGCTTTCCCAGAGTCAGTGCATGCCTCAAATGCAACTTTCAAGCTCCCTTTGACTCAGGAATCAATCTGCAGCCCATATTTGGGGCCCTTGATCAGCTGGGACCATGAATTTTGGCAATTCTTTTCCTTTTGGAAAGTAGGCAGCCCCAGCACAACCTCCTAATTTAACCCGTGCTTAGACACCCCATGATAGCACAGCTCAATCAGCTGTGTGACATCCCCATTTTCCCACCTTTGGTATCCCCGTCAGCACCCAGCCAGCCTATGGAGAAATCCCAGGTGTCTTTCTCATCGGGATAATCATTGTTTCTGGTTTTAGAGCCATCACCAAAGTGCCCAGCACAGGACAGTAGCTCAGCATTTGCTAACACCACTGCAGACCCATTTGTGTTTCTGAGATCTACAGACTTTGAGTAGAGGCAGTTTTGGGGTGAGAGTGGCTGCCATTTTGGATCACTTGGCTTTGGTGCAAGGCCAAGCAGACACTAGTTCCCTAGGGTGAAGATATTTGATACCTAAGCACCAGAGTCCTGCCAGTCTATAGCGCCCTATTGCAAATGGAGAATCTACTTCTACAGAAAGCAAACCTGTCCTGAGGGACACTTTTCTTCCTGCCTATAGTCAGAGCACTTGGGAAAGTCAAGGTGACGACACATCTGTGACTACTGGAGAAGTCTGCACCACTGAAAAGAAATGAGTGCTGGGACACATTTGTTCTTCCTGGTGGTCAAGTCAGCTGGACAAGAGCACACTGGCTGTAGTCAAGGGAACCAGCATTATACTTGTGTTGGATGATACTTCTCTTTCCGCCTTGTTAGAGTTCACATGGTCACAGCACACGTGCTGGTATGGGAATGATCAATACCCTGGAGACACTTTTTCATGCCTACAATCAGGGCATGGGTCTGTACTTTGTCCGAGTTCACAGCTGGCACTGTGCCCTTCCATACCTGCAGGTCCTTATGTCCCATCCTACAGAGAGCTGGCATCCAAGTGATACAATGGATGGGAACATCACCGGACTTGTGACTGGGGGCCTTCCCTCCATCATTCTGAGCTCCTGGGTTGCTCAGGATCAAAGCACTTTTGCTATAGTCAAAGGGACAATGCCATACATTTTTAGGGAGACATTTGTACTTTTGCCTGCCACCTAGTCATGTTTGTCTCCTTTGACTTATGGGGAGAAAGCATAATGAGAAAATACCTGTGTTTTGAGGCACTTTTGCTCTTACCTTTGGTCAGAGTAATTCCAAGCCTGGTGTAGTCACCACAGCCTCAGCCTTGTCTTTGTGGTACCTTCATTGCCACGTAGGATGTAGGAGGTCGATGTGCAGGATCACATCTCTTCATTTTCTTCTAGTGCAAGATGCAGGATCTCAGCAAATAAGGAACAAAAGCTTCCATGAATGGAACTTGCTCTGCTGGGGAGAGGCTTAATCTTTTCTAAGTTAAACAAAGTTAATCTTGCCTGATCTTTCTACTACAAACTGGAGGTCTGAAACCTCTGTATGTGTCAGGGGGTGTGCAGCCGGTGAGGCTGATCAGGACTTAAGAAGTTCCATGGTAGAGAGTTGAAGAGAGCTCTGTAGACATCATCAACCAAGACCTTCCTGACTTTGGACTTTAGCCTGACCCACCCAGCTTCTTGTTCTGGAACCCTGCTGCCTACAGTTGCTTCATTCTCCTCATTTGCCTCAATGGGCCATTTGGTACTTTGTCCTGGATTATCTATATAAAGCCATGGTCTTGCTAATCCATTCTCCTGTCTTTGCTCTTGGACTCAACACTGACATGTATGAATGGTGTGTGATGTGATTGGCCACACCTAACTATGCAGTTTTCTGTGCTCCAGCAAATAGTGGATGCTCCCACACTTTTATGACTTCACATGTGACTTCTGTTGTCTCTTTGTTTGTAGCATAAGGGATGGTAACCCAGGAAAATGTGAGATGCAGAGGATGGAGAGACAGGTGAGTTACCTTTGCCTCTTCTCTTTGTTTTTTTTTTCTCCTACTATCTGACCTCCTGCAGAGACATGTGTTCAAAAACCTTCCTGACGTGTTCAAAAACCACACTGTAGCACATGAGTGATTTTGGCTTCTTTTCCTTTTAGATTTAGGGCAATTATTCTCACACATTCACATTTCACCCAGAGAGGATGACTCTGGCATCTTAGGCTCATGGTCGATGAATAAAGTCAGGAAGAGTTCCCACCTGCTCTATAGTGACTGAACAGTAATGTTACCTATTATGGTTATCATTCTCCTGAAAGAGAACACATCCTATTTATAGGGAAATATCAAGATAGGGCCTATATGGGTAAATAACAAGTTTGGCTCTTGTTTACAACACTAAAATATCAGATGGCAAGAATTCTCATTCAGATGGGGCTGACCTTAGAGAATCTTGCTGCATCTCTATTAGACTTAATTGCTGACAATGTAATCTTGTCTAAAGCATTTTGCAACAGGGAAACCTACTCAGGATGGGGGGATGAGAGAAGTACAAGCATTTTCCCCACCAAATTGCATATTTTGTTAAACATTTATTCAGTTACACTAGACTCTGTGTTAGGCCCTGATGATAGAAGAAATATTACCCTCTAGTTCCTGAGTTTACAATTGTAGTTGCAGAGAAGACAGATGAATAGACCAAAAATTTTAACTAGAGGGCTAAGTGCTGTTGTAATGCTGGCAGATGAGAGAGACTTGAGACTAAGTCTGTGATAGAAGAGACATAGTTGCTCCTTAAAGAGGAGAGGAAGCAGGGCCTCACCTGGTGGCGCAGGCGGTTGTGTGCCACACTGTGAAGCTGTCTGCAGCCTCTGTAGCGCAGGTTCAATCCTGGCTGGCCGGCGAGGGTCCCACATGGTGCAGCAGACCTCGCCTGTCTCGCCCACTGCTCCCCTCAGCAGTGTATTTCATCAGTCTGCCTGTTCTGTTCCCCACTCTGTCTCTGGTGAATCCTCTCACCCTCCCGCATATCTTGCCTGTACCACGGTTCTTGTATAAAAAAATAAATAAATCTTAAAAAAAAAAAAAAAAGAGGAGAGGAAGCAATCAAGTTGAGAAGGGCTGATTTTCAGGTCAAAGAACTATGAAAAGTCTAGGAAGGAAGGAAGATCATAAGGCAGTGGAACACCAGGCAGGAGGAGTCATGTGTGGCTGATCTGGTGCCACTGCAGGACTCAGCAGGGGCAGATCATCGACAAACTTGTATACCATCTTGGGGATTCACCTCTTATCCTGATTGTAAGCAAATAAAGGACAATATTATCTGTAGATTTTAGAAAAAGCCCTATGGTGTTGTGAGAAAGAAGAGTTAAATGGCACTTAGCAGTGACCCAGGTAAAGACTAGACAATGAACTCTTTCTGGACTAGAGAGATGCCTGCGGGGATGGAGAAGAAGTGAAAAGGGAGGTGAAGTACTTCTCTGCAACAAGACCAGGCTTATTCTATTTATTGTGATTAAAATAGATAAGGGTGGTTTTGGCATAAATAATATAAATCCAATTGTTATAAGTATATACCAATTAAATAATAAACAGAAGAGCTGGGGACACGTTGGTTAGTGGGATCTTCCAGTGTGCATTTTCTCCACAGATAAACCACAGTGGCCTCTATGGAAGGTGCAAACTGGAACTTCCTTTTCCTTTGAGAGATGTCGTTTTCTTGCTGTCTTTTTACTTAACTTGTTTAAATAAGCAAATATATGAGAAAAGAGTTGAAAGGAAGTAAAACAGAAGAAGAAAGTGCAGGCTGGACCAGAGGGACTCCTCTCAAATTCTTTGGGAAGAGCTGGGGGCCAATATACTCTCTCATGACACACTCTCAAGCCTATGCATATGGTGCGCCCTAAAATTTACTTCATGCGGTTTTAAGTTTTAAGAATCTTGAAAGATTTTAAGAATCAATGAAATTATAGGAAGTGTTTTTTTAAAGTTGAATTACTTACATGTCATTATATATATATATATATATAATACATATATCTCCAGATTTGTGGGTTTTAAATAATAAATGGTTAATTTCATTTTTTTCAGACTGTGTCAAGGTAACAAAGATTGCCTGAAACCAAACATTAAAATTAAAATTTTATTTTTCAAAATACACAAAACTAAATAGATGACAAATTTAAATAATTTAAATTTTAAAAGATGTTTATAGGCTTGCTGCATTTATACTTCTGAAGTTATTAAAACTTAAACTAGCATTAAAACTTTTTGGACATACATTAAACAGTCCATTTTTTAAGAGGTTAAAATTGTGCAAACTATCAGAAAACAAACTTGCGGGCATGGGAGGGCTCCCTTATTACTGAGCTCAACTTTTTCTAAGATCATTTGAAAAGCTGAAAAACTATGCAAGCATTTACATGAGGCATCAGCATCAGAGAAAATAAAATAACTTCATTCACAATCAAAATTTTTGGGGGACCTTCTATTATGGACTGATACATACCTGTATATAGCATAGGCTATTGACAAAGATACTTGTTTAAAATTCATACTATATATGCTGAGCCTCCCCAGTGGCGCAGCAGTTGAGCGCTGGGTTGCGAAGCTGCCCGCAGCCTCTGCAGCGCCGGTTCGATCCCCGCTGCTCCCCGGCCACCGGAGGAGGGTCCCACATGGCGCGCAGACCTCTCCTGCCGCCCGCTGCTCCCCTCAGCAGTGTACTCCGGTCCTTCTGCCTGCTCTGCTCCCCGCTCTGGTGAATTCTCTCACCCTCCTGTGCTTTTGACTGTACCCAGTACATGAATAAATGAATGAATAAATAAATAAATCTTAAAAAAAAAGATCTCATACTATATATGCAATATAATCATTCATTCAATGAAAGTACTTTCAATATTTATTATGTGCTATAAGTTAGGAATGCAATAATAAAATAAAAATTCCTGTTCTCATATTTCTAGTAGTTCAGTATATACAGTCCTTATTTCAGTTAGGGTTTAATCATTATTAAATGTTTTAGAAATCTTCATAAATCCTGAGAATGAATAAAAAATAGAATTTTTTAAAAATAATTTATCTTAGGAAGAAAATCATAAATATTAAGGGATAATCAAATTTGGGTTTATACTCCTTGGGTATCTTCACTCTCACAAACCTCTATAGTGCTCTGCTAAGCCTACTGAATTTCTCACATCAACTCACTTTCCACTTCGCCCCTCTCCTCTCTGCAGATCATCTGTCCTTCCTGAGCTTGCTCATTTTATTTCACTAAGAAAAGAGAACTTCCATATCTTTGTATGTGGAGACTTCTAGTCAAACTACACTTACTACAGATACCCAGCCTCTCTTGTCTGTTTCTGGATGCGTAATAGGCAGCTATCGAAAGGCAACCCCACTTTTTGTATACTGGAAGCCTAATCTCTTTGGCCCACTAAGATCTTTGTTGCAACAAATTCTCCCCTCTCTCCTGTATCATCACCTTTTACCTCTTTATTGGATCTTTTTCTTTGGCAAACGAACACCATGATTTTATTGCTAAGAAAAAAGCTAACCATTCTCTGTAACCATTGCCCAACTTGAGGTACATACTAGCTTGCATTCTGCTTTTTCAGATGCTGCATTAAGGCTCAGCTCCATCCTATGTACAGGCTACTGGGAGCCCAGCTGGAGTCAAGTCAGGGGTCAAGACTTTATTTTTAAAGATTTATTTTATTTATACAAGAGCTGAGGTACCCGCCAGAGGCATGGGAGGGTAAGAGGATTCACCAGAGACAGAGCTGGGAGCGAAACAGGCAGACCAAAAGCACTGCTGAGGGGAGCAGCGGGCAAGACGGGAGAGGTCTGCCGTGCCATGTGGGTATCTCCCTGGCCAGCAGGGAATCGAACCCATGCTTCAGAGGCTGTGGACTGCTTCACACCACTGTGCTCAACCCACTGTGCCACCGGGGAACCCGAGGACACTCTAATATTGCATCAATTACTAGTTACATCTATCTTGGCATGGCCCCTATAGGGGCAGGAATGACACAGGGCAGGTTTTCTGATACAGCAGATCTGGTAAAGGAGGAGTCAGAGTCCTTAGTGGCTTTTGCAGGTCTTTTATTTAGATTTACCAGGCATGTAGCAGGCAGGGGGTGCTGGGGGGTGCTGGAAGGCTGGCAGTCCTCCCAGCCCCCAGCAAATCTTCACTCTATCTGGGCTCTCTCTGGCATTCTCTCTGCTTCTCTTCTTCTCTTGGCTTCTGCTGGAGTCCCTGTGACGCTGCCCTTATAAACTCAGCCTCTCAGCCCAGGTGTACCCACTTCGGGTGCCCGCCATCAGGCATGCATTCAGGATCACAGGGTTCCCTCATCTATCCTAATGGCGGGAGGGCAGAAAAGCCTGATACTTTTACCTTACCCTACAGGCCCCTAAGATGATACTGTCTTAAGACAAAGTGTCATCCACTAGATGAATGAGCAGTTATTTGCAAAACTTCCTTCCTTTCCTCTGCATCCATAAAAAATAAGCTCAGGTTTATAACCTAGGTGGTTTTTTTTTTTTTTTTCTTTTTGGATGTATTAGAATGGTCGTGATAAACTGTAATCCTGTCCTCCTTTGTTGAGTTAATCAGAGAACATTGAGAATCACATCTTAGAATTCTTTACAGATCAGGCAGATTTCAAAAGAGCTCCCCCCACTTTTGCCCTCCTTACTCCCCTTCTCAGCACATCAATTCCTTTCTAATTTTTTTTTTTTTTTGCTACATCTGTAAAGTTATTCATTGACATGACATGAAATCATGGACTGGTCAGTTCTAAGCATTTCATGAAAGGAGAGTTTTCACGGCACTGGGAACCATTTGACTTTCTCTCTGGACAGCTCAGGAGAGCAAATTATCATTAAAAAGGAATCTTCTTGGTCTGTGAAGGAAATTCTGTATTCTTCTGAATTTGTGAAAATAATCTACTTGGCTGGCAGAGAATTAATCTTAAAGGGATTTAGTGAAGGGTACTTGAGTTCTGGTTCAATTAAAAGTGCCCACTGTCCAACTGAGAGTTGAACAAATCTGCTCCCCCACATTCTTTTGTCAATTGACATATTAACTTTTTAATGGGTTGATTTTTGACAAGCAAAGAAGCATAGAAATCTATTCTATTTTACTTGTCTCCAGCAGTGTGCATTAAGGAGAACCCAGTGGTATGGTTTTAAGATTTGAGGAGTGGGGAGAAGCTGCACATTAATAAACACGAAGGTCAAGAAACCTAAAGTACAGAAGGTTTTGTTATTCTTTCAACATTTGTCACCAGATGCTTGCCTCAAATAAGTCTGGCTTTGAGAAATGCTTTTTAAGACTTGCTTAGATGTGACAGCTGTAAAAGTCCCTCATGAACTCTGAAAAGGCAATCTCAGCCCAGCTGCTCGTGTTTAGGGCTATCCAGAATGAAAATGCTGTTAGCGACAGATTCATTTCTCTCCCTGCAATGGCTGTGACAAACATTCAGTGCCAAGGATGAGACTGGGTTTCTTGTATTTTCCCTTCTGTCTGGACTAAACAACAGTCCTGTGTTCTGGAGCACCAGGTGTGTGCAAAAACAGTAATAAACCTTGTGTGTAATGAGCGGTAATCACAAGAATGATCTCATTTGGGGAGGGCTGATTTTCCGTGACCACCTTGTGAGACAGGTTCTGTGGACCATCTCAAGAGAGGAAACTACACCAGATTAACTAATTATATTCCAATGCATGCAGGAATTTAAATGCAATCTCACACATGTTGGGGGATCTTAGAGAATTCCCGGGAGGTAACCGATTGATGTAAGGAATAGTACAGAGCTGCTTTCAAGAAATTAAGTTTGCTGCACTTTGTGAATAGATCTGTGTCCTATTAGATTGTCAACATAATGAGAGTGTGAATTATGTCTCATTATTAATATTTTGTCATTATTAATGGCCATATCCCTCACAAATCCTGGCATTTTGTCGTACTCCTTAATTCCTCAACTAATTTTGTTTTTGTTGGGTGACACGTTAAGAAGACCAGAACTTGGAAGGAGTCAGGATTTGTCATTGGGGATGGGGATGGGGAAGTGGCTACTTACTACTTGACAACGCCATAAAATAGTCTGCTCTGCCTTTGCTATATAGGTCCAAGCCAGGACCCCTGGAGTAGTTTCTTATGTTATGTAACCTAATCTTCCAAAGTCCTACTTATTGCTGGTGGTCTTGCTCATATATCACTATCTCTGACCAAATCACTCAGTTGACATTAATTTTCTCCTCATCAGCACAATTTCTTCACCTTAGCTTTCTTAATTTTTTTTTGTTTGTCAGATAATTTTTTGTTATTTTGGGGGATGGGTGTGTTGGCGGAAGGAGTCATCTGTCCTATTCATTGTAGGCCAGTTAGCAGCATTCCTGGCCTCTCCCTCCTTGCTAGATGATAGTAGCACTTACCCAGATATGACAACCAACACTGCCTCCAAATATTGCCAAATGTCTCCTGGGGGCAGGAAGGGCCAGCAAAATCAGATTCATTGTCCTATAGAATATCCTTTGGACCATAATTGTGGCATTTGTCACATCTTCTATTTTTTAACATTAGTACTTGCCTGTTCGATTTTTAACTCTATTCATTGAGTGTGGGTAATCTACATTTTTCAATTCTGGTGAATGCTCTCCACCAAATTCTTAGCACATTGCATTTTAAAAAATTGCTGCATAACAAATTACCATAAATTTAGCTGTTTAAAATAACATCCATCTCTTTGCGAGTGCATGTCTTCCCTGCAGGTATGGGAATACTGAGGGTAACATCTTCCATAGTTCAGGCCTGTCTGATACTCTAAATAATTAAAGAAAAAAACAGCAGCCGTTTATTAGTTCATACTTATGTAGGTCAATAATCTGTATTGGCTTGACTGGGTTCTCTGCTAATGCTCTTACAGGTATCACCCAGATGACCTTTTACCTGGAGGCCAAGGGGAAACTCAGTCTGGTTGTGGGGAAGCCAGCTAATGTGGTTGTATGTTGGAGGTCTCTGTTTTCTTGTTGGCTCTCAGGTGGGGCCCACTCATTACTGCTAGATGCCCCCTTTATTCCAGTCCATGTAGTTCCCTCCATCCTCAAGCTATTGAAGGTGGGTCATGTCTCCTTGGCCTTCCCATTTTTGACTTACCCTTGTGGTTCTCATCCATCTTATGCCACTAGCCTGAGAAAGTTCTATGCTTTCAAAAACTCACTTGATTAGATTAGCCTCATCCAGTCTCCTTTCTTCAGGTTAGCTGTGCCATATAACATGACAAAATCATAGGAGTCATTTCTCATCACATCATAAATATTAGGTTTATTTCTCACATAACTGAAACCTCTGGGGACAGCAGGGAAGGACACACACATAGATGAAATTGGCTTTAGAGAGCAAGGAAGTGAGGTTGACTCAGAGTTTTTATTGTGCTTAGGGGATAGTTTAGTTGTTCTTATGTCTGAGGTTTGCGCAGTGTCAAGTCAATCCAATTTTGCCTTTGGTATGCCTGTACTTTCTTTTCACTTTACCCAGATGTAGGGCAAAAGGAGAAAACCAAGGGGCAAAACTTAAAAGCTGTCATTAGTCCTACATGAACAAATGAGTCTGATTCTTAAAACATAACTGGTCATTTTACATGGCACCGAACAAAGATCTTTTCTCAGACCTTTAAAATACAAAGTCATTTAAACTTTTTTCCTGAGCATATTCTTAAGTAGTGATGAGAAACTTTTTATACTAGTTTATTAGTCCTCTGCTGGTGTTTTTCTTTCTTTTCAAAGTTTGAATAATGGTGAACAATGTTCTCATTTCCTCCAACTATGAAGCAGGTAGGAGAAGAGATGTTTGTAGATGGTTGGTATTCATAGTCACAACATGGTCTATGCCTCCAAGAAGTGAGATTGTGACAGGGTAGTCTCCAGGAAAAGGGGTGGTTCCAGGTTCCCTGGAACCTAGGAGGGTGGACCTAAGGAGAAGAGAAGAAGCTGGAGAAGAGACTGAAAAGGAAGGAAGCAGGATGGAGAGCCAGAAGGAGCCCTGGAGGAGGCACATAAAGCAGGAGACATGTGAAGAAACTGTGCTTGCCTTTGGTTGTGGACTGGCTAAAAAGATGTGGGTGAGAGACTTGTGGGGAGGTGACAATGGCAACTTTTACCTTGATTTTGATTTTGCTCTTTCCTTCCAGACTTGTCTGGTTGTCTCTGATCCTTTTCTTTTTCTTTCTTTCTTTCTTTTTTTTTTTTAAGATTTATTTATACAAGAACTGGGGTACAGTCAGAGGCGTGGGAGGGTGAGAGAATTCACCAGAGACAGAGTGGGGAGCAGAACAGGCAGACGAAGCAGCCGGCAAGGCAGGAGAGGTCTGCCACGCCATGTGGATATCTCCCTGGCTGGCTGGAAATTGAAGCTGCGTTGCAGAGACTGCGGACAGCTTCACAGTGTGGTGTTCAACAACATGATGCGGCAGCGAGGAGGCCCCCGTTTCTGATCCTTTTCTGTGGGTCCCCACTGGAAGATGCTTTAGACTTGTGGCAGGATTTGGGGCCTTGTTCTGGGCCAATCCCACTTGGGTGGACTTTTTTTTTTTTTTAAAGATTTATTTTTATTTATTTATTTATTTATTTATTTATTTATTTATTTATTTATTTATTTATTTATTATACAAGCACTGGGTACAGTCAGAAGCGTGGGAGGGTGAGAGAATTCACCAGAGCCAGAGCGGGGAGCAGAGCAGGCGGGGAGCAGTACACTGCTGAGGGGAGCAGCGGGCGGCAGGAGAGGTCTGCGCGCCATGTGGGACCCTCCTCCAGTGGCCGGGGAGTAGCCAGGAATCGAACCGGCGCTGCAGAGGCTGTGGGCAGCTTCACAACCCAGCGCTCAACCACTGCGCCACCGGGGAGGCCCCTTCGGTGGACTTTTACCCACGAGGGGACGGGTAACTTTGGGTGCTTGATTTAGAAACTATATTCTTTGCCTTTCTTGTATTGTTTACTAATTGTATTAAAGTTCCTTCCCATTAAAGTCTTACGTATTTTGTGTTGATGCTGTGGATGGCAGAACCTATTTAGAGCAGGCAGGTTTGTGGGGTCTGGGGTACCCCTCTCCCTGCCCTGTAACAGAATGACTAGAACTCCTTTTATAAGTGATTGACTTCCATGATACCCAATGTATGATTTTATTGGCACTTGGAGAGATTGGTTTTCTATAAACACTAATAGAAATATTACTTGTAGCAACTATGCCTGATTTTTATGGAAGAGAAGAACTATGTTTTGGGTGACATTTTTTGCTTCAATTTAATTTTTGATGCTTTGATGGCATTCGTTTTTAGAATGAAATTGTCAAATCTTGTCAACAATTGTCATGATCTTAAAATATAAATGATAATAAATTGAATCTATTTCTCCTCAGATAAAGGAAGGTTTGTCACATGGGAAATGCCTAAGAAGTACCCCCATCAGTGCTTCCAGGAGTCTCCTGATATGAAATGTGAATAGCAGAATCACAAGTAAAAATGGCCTTGGTAATTGGAATGACAAACTGAAGATAACAAAAATATAATGAGGATATTGGGAAAAACTCAAGGGTTTTTGAAAACCCTTGTAGAATGGTTTTGTCTGTTTTGGTTTTTTTTAAGATTTATTTATTTACACTTATAAGAACTGGGGAACAGGCCAGAGGTGCGGGGGGTGAGAGGATTCACCAGAGACAGAGCGGGGAGCAGAACAGGCAGTTTGACTGAAGTACACTGCTGAGGAAAGCAGCAGGCAAGACAGGAGAGGTCTGCTGCACCATGTGGGTTGCTCCCTGGTCAGCCAGGGATTGAACTCGTGCTGCAGAGGCTGTGGATTATTTCATAGGTTGCGTCTTAACCCCTTGTACCACCAGGGAGGCCCAGTTTTGTCTTCTAATAGGAATAGGGCTTATTACTTTCCTAATCACTTTTCCTTCACAATGTGATACCTTTTTTAATTGGAAATAAAATCTCAATAATTGTTAGCCAAAGGAAGTTTATTAGCTAATGAAAGTCAGGATTTGAACCCAGGTAGCAATGTGACAGATTTTACTCTATGAGGCTGTTCCAGTAAGCACACATGTTTGAACTTACTTTAAGTAGGAAGGAACACTGAGTCACTTACATTAAGAATGCAGTTGTTTTTTTTTTTTTTTTTTTTTTTAAATATTAAATTTTATTTTTATATTCCCCCATACAATTGCAAACGCCCCATTCTGACCCCAATCCTTCCCCTCCCGCCCCCCACCCCCCAAAAAGTGTCTCTGGTTCATAGTTTTTTGTTGATTTTGATTTTCACTTTCTTATATTCATTTTCCTGGTCCCTTAATTAAGTTTTCTAGATTCCTGCTATGAGTGAGACCATCCGGTATTTTTCTTTTTCTTTTTGGCTTATTTCGCTGAGCATGATCCCTTCCAGTGCCATCCATGTTGCTGCAAATTGCATGTGTTTATCTTTTTTGAATGCTGAGTAATATTCCATGGTATATATGTACCACATCTTCTTGATCCAGTCATCTATTTTTGGGCATTTGGGTTGTTTCCAAAGCTTAGCTATTGTAAACAGTGCTGCTATAAACATAGGAGTGCAGGTGCTCTTTGGAATTGATGTTTCTGTGTCCTTTGGGTAAATACCTAGGAGTGGAATTGCTGGATCATATGGAAGCTCTTAGTTGTTTTTGATAGGAATTCTTCTATTTAGTTTAAACTTGCCTCTGCCTAAAGATATGCTGATGCTAGAGGAAGACAATTTAACCTCTTCCTTTCGAAAGAATGAACTGCAGAGATGCAAAGCCTGGGCACTGTTGTTAGATCTTCTTTAGATCTTTATCTGGTTCCTTGGTCATTGGTGGATGTGAGAAGACTCAATTTACCTTCACACAACAAAGTTCCTGCAGAGGTTGCAGAACAGAACCTGTTTTCACGTTAAGTCCATGACAATGGCTTTGTTCTCTGGCCTGCAAGACTGAGGTGATGAGGAATCCCCAGAAAAATTTTACAATATGTTGATACCTTTAATTTAAAAATATCTTTTGGGGCTTCCCTGGTGATGCAGCAGTTTGTGCGCCGTGCTGCGAAGAAGCTGTCCACAGCCTCTGCAGTGTGGGTTCGATTCCCGACCGGCCAGGGAGAGACCCACATGGCACCGCAGACCTCTTCTGCCTTGCTTGCTGCTCCCCTCAGCAGTGTCCTCTGTCTGTCTGCCTGTTCTGCTCCCCGCTCTGTCTCTGGTGAATTCTCTCACCCTCCCGTGCCTCTGACTGTGCCCCAGTTCTTGTATAAGTAAATATATCTTAAAAAAAAAAATCTTCTGTCTACACTGAAGAAAGATAGGTCACTTATAACAGGGCCATGCTTAAAGTTCCTTTTGCTTTGGAACTGGGATTCTATTTGAATTAAATATCAGCAATAGGGATATTTAGTCTTAAGAAAGATTATGTGTATGTGTGTGTGTGTGTGTGTGTGTGTTTGTTTCTTGGATGGTTGACTTGAACCTGGTTCCCAAGGTAGCCTACTCTAAATTAAGTCGAAATGCCAGGACTTCCAAAGCTCCTAAAGAGCTTTGGTCCTTAAAGTTTTGCTCATAGTTCCCAGGGGTTCCCTGAATCCATTTCAGGAGATCTGCAAGTTCAAGACTATCAACAGCCTTTTTGTAGCAATACTAAGATGGTATTTCCCTTTTTCATTGTGTTGATATTTGCACTGATAGCTCAAAAGCAGTGGTGGATAAATTTCTGGCTCCTTAGTGTGAATCAATGTATTGGCACAAAATTTTATAAGTGGTGATTATGCTTTTCACAGCTGAGCCCTTGAAACTTTTGTTTTTTTAAAACCAGTTTTACTTAAGGTCATCTTTGATAGAACATTTAAAACTGTTAATTTTATCAAGTCTCAATCTTTACCTATATGACTTCTAACATCAGACACAAGTACAAGAGAAATACAAGATTATTTCCCATAATTGTGGCATTCAAAAACTTTTTATAAATCCCTTATTTTATATATTATTTCTAGTGGTTCAATTTCTCTGTTAGAATCCAGACTGATACCAGCCTAGTGGAGGGAGTTAGCTGTCTTCAAATATTTGCGAGGTTATTATATGACCAGAGAAGCTGTTTTCTTCTGTGTTGATTCAAAGACTAGAAGGAAGTCCCAGTGGTAGAGGTGAAATGCAAGATGGGGTTTGGACTCTGGAGAGATAAGTTTAGTTTGGCTTAGATTCTAGATGTCGTTTACTTGCAGCTTTGATTTTCTTATCTGTGAAATGTTAATAATAACGGTATCCACTTCTCTTGACTGTTACAAGAATGAAAGGAGTAGGGCCTCCCTAGTGGCGCAGTGGTTGAGTGTTGGGTTGCGAAGCTGCCCACAGCCTCTGCAGTGCCGGTTCAATTCCCGGCCACTGGCGAGGATCCCACATGGTGTGCAGACCTCTCCTGCTGCCCGCTGCTCCCCTCAGCAGTGAATTTCATCTGTCTGCCTGTTCTGTTCCCCGCTCTGGCTCTGGTGAATTCTCTCACCCTCCCATGCTTCTGACTGTACCCAGTGCTTATATAAATAAATCTTAAAAAAAAAAATGAAAGGAGTTAACATTTGGAAAGTGCTTCAAAAGACTTTCATGTAGTAAGCACTAGTTTAGGCTCTGTTACAGTTTTCAAAGTTATAGGGAGATAGAGTTTACTACTTTAGAAACTTTTTAATGATCCCAGCTGTCAAACAAAATAGTGGCATGCCTTGCAAAGAACTGAACCTCACTTGCCCTTTGCAAAGGAGGCAGCAGAAAAAGGAAACATAGATTTGTAGTCCAAAGACTTAATTCAAGTTTTGGTTCAACCATTTGTTAGCTGTGTCATCATAGGAAGTCATTTAATCTCTCAAAATCTCCATTTCATCATCTACAATATAATTTAGGTGAAACAATAAGATTGAAGGTGCTTTGTTATCTGCAAAACGTCCTATAAATGTCAGTCCTTGTTATTTCCTTGAAAGCTTTGAGGCAAAATTTGTGTCATTGGCAATGACACCGGAGAAAAGACTCTTGTTTTGCAGAGAAATTTGGACTAGATAATACCTACAACAGCTCAGAAAGTCTACTAACTCTTTCTTAAGTAGCCTGCCTGTCAAGGTTTGTGATCACATTAAAGGAGTTAATAAGAGAACAATTTTGATTTTATTTTTGATAGAGTGAATGAGATGGTGCAGTACTAAATAAGGAAGTTAAATCAAGCAATCAGTGGGGGAACGTTAGCTCTTTTCACATATATAATTGTCATGATTTTTGTTGAGGCCGTTATTCATTATTGCAGAGGTCCTTCTTCATTTGAATTATAGTCAGTTCCACTTGAAAGTGTGCAATTCCATCTTTTATACTAAGGTTTAGGACTATTTGTACTTTCTTCCCTCTTCGAGCTTCAGATTGTTATGGTTAAAAATAAAGTATTTATCTTTGGTTTAGCAATCTAATAAAACTTTGACAGGAGTGTGAAATGGTATAAAGCATCTCTTCAACAAATCCATCTCAATAACACTTCCTGACAATCAAAAAACCTTCAGGGCCGCTCCTTAATGACTTCTGAAGTTTTAACGGATTTGTACTAAGGGTGTGAGAATGACTGGAAATGGGTTTTAAAGTAGTGCTAACTTGTTTGTTTTAAAATCCACTCTGATTTGGTTTTTGAAGAGGGTTTGAGAATATGCTTCCATTAAAATGTAGACTGATGAAGTGATTACGATAATGAGTGCTACTTGCCTCCGGTTTGGAATTACTAGGGAACCGCTCCAAGTAAAACTTTTGTAAAGGAAAAAATGTTTCTGTGAAGGTTAGAATCAAGTCCCAGAGGAAAGAGGTTAGCTAACAGTCTATCCTACAAGAGCTGGTTGATTGTCAAAGATGTGAGGCCCTGGATGTCTGGACCTAGCTGAGTCTCAGTGATTCTGGTTTAATAGATCTGAAATATAGACTAGGAATTTACAGACTATATATAAAGATAAGTAAGTAAGTAAGTAGCTTTCCAGATGGTTCTGATGATCAGCAATACATAGAAATGACTAGAACAATGCACTCCTCAGGAGTTTAGGCTTATTTAGAAAAGAGTGGTATTTATAGAGTAGATTTTAAGAATGGAGTCATTGTGGGTGATCTTGATGCATCTGAATCTTTATTACTAGTCATGGGTGTTGTAGCGAAGCAAGATGCACTTGTCAGCTCTTATGGGGAAATAAGCCTTAGGGAATTCAGACAACTGGTTGGTTTCAGTGACTTAGTTGTATTGCTCTGAAGTTCTGTGATTATATATAATAGCCCTAGGTCCATATCTGATAGAACTGAATACATGTTCTTCCAGTTTTGCTGAGGTCTAGGGATATTTTCTGGGAAGGAATACAGAACTAGATTTTTGATTTAAGATTATCTTTGAAAATATCATCTCTTCATTTCATCACACATAATAGCATCTGCTGAGGTTTGACCTTTGGTCCTTGGTTTAGGAAGAAACTAGGCATAATAGGTGTTTAGTACATATTTGTTGAATGAATGAATTAAATATAATTTGCATTTGGCATTCAATATATCATAGATGTACTCTTTATTAAATCTATGATCCTAATTTATTGTAAATCAAGGTTTTGTAAGTCCAGTGTCACAAATCACTTAAAATTTTAGGAGAGTTTACTGGTAAGGGTTATCTGGCAATGGAGTCTTCCTGAAAGTAAGTAGCTTTATGCAATGGAAATGACATGCCCTAATACATCTAACAGATGGGAAATACATTTTGAATATTTTTTTTCTTCAAAATATAACTGATCTGTACCTGAGTATTAGAGATTTAAATATGCCTTCTCAGGTAATGTTAACATAAGGCAGTAGGAGAAATTGCAGTTGCTAAACAGTCAGAGAGGTTTTGAGTGATGCATGGGAAATGGAAAGTTACGGGATAATAAAGGAAAAAAGTCTCTTACTAGTTGGATTCTAATGCTGGGATTTGATTCTAATTCTGATGCTGGGAATGAATCTGTGTCCCCAAGTTTTCGGGGGGGAGGGGTATTAGTGCTTATTAATACCTGCCTTCTCCTTTGGCCTCACAGTTGGAGCACATTTCCCAGCCTACCCTAAAGGTGGTGTGGTCCTTGTGACAGTTCTAGCCAGCAGGATATGAGTGGAAGTGTAACAGGGTGGTCCCCAGGAAAAGGGGAAGTTCCAGGTTCCCTGCCCCACCCAAAGGTGGGTGGAACTAAAGAGAAGAGAAGAAGCTGGAGAAGGGACTGAGGAAGGAAGGAAGCAGGTTGGAGAGCCAGAAGGAGCCTTGGAGGAGGCACATGGAGCAGAGAGACATGTGAAGAAACTACACTTGCCTTTTTGTCATGGACAGAGTGACACAGATGTGGGTGAGAGACCCGTGGGGAGGTTAACAATGGCAGCTTTTACCTTGATTTTGATTTTGCTCTTTTCCTTCCAGACGTGTCTGGTTGATTCTGATCCTTTTCTGTGGGTCCCCACTGAAAGGTGCTTTAGACTTGTGGCAGGCTTTCAGGCTCTGCTCTGTACCAATCCCGATTGGGTAGACTTTTACCCACGAGGGGACAGGTAACTTTGGGTGCTTGATTTAAAAACTAGATTCTTTGCCTTTCCTGTATTGTTTACTAATTGTATTAAAGTTCCTTTTCATTAAAGTCTCATATGTTTTGTGTTGATGCGGCAGATGGCAGAACCTATTTAGAGCAGGCAGGTTTGTGGGGTCTGGGCTGCCCCTCTCCCTGCCCTGTAACAGAAGCAATGGATGTTACTCCTTTGTCTGGGTGGTCGTAACTTCTCGTGTGTGGCCTCCATTCTCTTCTCTCTGCTAGCAGGCACACAGAGAACTCCAAAACTCCTTCCAGTTTGTGGCCCTGCCATCTCCTAGAGTCTCAAATATTATGTAAGAGATAAACCTCTCCTATGAGAGCTACTGGAATATGACTGTTTGCTACAGCAGTTAGTGTAGCCTAGCTTATGTAGTTTCTAAACATCAGGTTGCAAATATAGAGTTGGATCTCCTTATGGATTCAGAGACACTATGGGAGAGTGGTTTAATACATGGGTAAACTTCGAAAACAGAAATACTTTACTGGCATAAAGTCTAGTCCCATCTCTATTATGAAGCTCTGTGGCTTTGGGTCACTTTTTTAACTTTTGTAGGTCAGGTCTTAGGTTTTTTTTTTTTATTATTTTTAAAGTGGAGATAATCATAGTATCCACCTCAAAGGATTGCTGTGAGGATTGAATGAAATTGCCTCTCAGAACAGATAATAACTGTAAATAAAGTTAGCTATTATTGTTAGAATTGGCGATGGATTCATTCTAATTTATTCAAGCACATTTTCTAAGTGCTTAGTATGCCATGGTAAGGAATTAGGAAGGATATAAAGATTAACAGGACCAATTGTTGCCTTCACATATCCCCTAGTCTAGGAAGACAATTGAAAGGTATACCAATAATTATAGTGGTGAATGGCTTTGTGAGTCTGTCAGCTTTTAAATCTGAGGAGCATAATATATGAAATAGTCCTGCGCTAAAGATATGCATCAGTGGGTGGAGACAGGAAAAGAATTCTTTGAATACTTAATATATCTCTATCTCTGTGTCTATCTATCTGCTTATTTTTTATCAAACTGGCTGATGAATTTAAAAACTGTTATGCTTCATTGGAAGTCAGTTGACCCTTTTATTAGTGAGTGTTGTAAGTGCAGGTTTGGTCATTTCAGGGCAATATTTGGAAGCTTGTAAACAGCTTGAGATGATTAATTTACTCTAACAAAGAATAAGAGAGCTGTGCAATCTAGGGTATCCTCCAGGCTGACTTTTTAGTGGTAATTTTACTCAGTCAATCATCTCTTTTTCTCTTCTTCAATTTCAGCACCACTAAACCATACCAAATGAGTAAAATGCAGGTAGGTGATAAAACAGAGGGCTTTGAAATCTTTCTGTACCTTCAGGGCACTGGGAATTTTACCATTTTACACCCAAACCTGAATTAGACTATCATTAAAATTTTTTTTGAGCTTATGTGAAAGCTTTTCAGCTTATATGAAAGAGTTCCTGGAGATAACCTTAGTACATTTTGTTTTCCTCACATGTGAACAAACACTTTTTCTAGCTGTTGCTAGTGAGGCACTGAACTGGGAGTTTTGGGCTCACAGATCCAAAATCCAAAGTCTTATGGAAAATTCACTTATACAAATGTATGCACTTTTATAAATGCTATAATAGATAAATATTCTAATTTTCATGGTGCCACCAAAAACCTGAGCCTTGTCTGCACGATGCCTTGTCAGGAGAGATGTTCAAGGATGTTATGGCTCAGCTGCTTCTCTAAGGGAGACTGAGAATTCACAGGTGGAAAAGAGGGAGGCAGGCTTTACAGGCAGTGTAGACAGAATGTGCTGATACAAGGTCCTTTTTAATTGTCATGACTTCTTTGGTTTTTTTTTAAGATTTATTTTATTTGGACAAAACTGGGATACAGGCCAGAGGCGTGGGAGGGTGAGAGAATTCACCAGAGACAGAGCGGGGAGCGGAACAGGCAGATGGACTGGAGACATTGCTGAGGGGAGCAGCGGGCAAGACAGGAGAGGTTTACAGCGCCATGTGGGAATCTCCCTGGCCAGCCAGGAACGAACCCGCGTTACAGAGACTGTGGACATCTTCACAGCGCGGCGCTCAACCCGCTGCGCCACCAGGGAGGCCCTGTCATGACTTCTTTGGATCCTGAAATACCTTAAAAGATCTAAGCCACTGATGTCTGCTCAGAATACTGGGAGATTTTATTAAAGACATGATATCCACCAGATGTCAAGATGTGAGACAAACCTTACTTATTGAAGAAAGATGGCAGGATAACATTATGTAATTATATAATCATATATTTAAGTAATATAACTCAGGTGTGCATCATTAAAAATCAGCACTATATATACACTATTAAGTTCACCACTAATTGTCCAGTTCTGTCCTTCACCATGCACTTGATCCCTTTTACCCGATTTACTTCCCGCATACCCCCCTTTCCTTCTGGTAGGCACTAATTGGTCTTATGTAGCTAAATCTTCTAAACCTAACTCAGGGAAAGTTTCATAAATATTAACTTACCACTCCTGTCAGATTGTTTTCTCAGTCTAGACTCCTCCCATTATTATAATAACTCTCCTAATGAAAGGAGCAAGAGAAATTTCTGATGTTTTCTTGTCCAGAAGCCTTATCCTCTTCTATTTCTTGATGTATAATAGCTCAACAAAGTGCTCTGAATATCCCAAGTCACCTAAAATTAACATATCAGCTAATTGGATTTGATACTATTAGAGGCATGGGGAAATATTCTAAGGCAACTGGTTGGAATCAAGGACATAAAAAGAAAGGCATTATGCAAATGTTTGGTTATTAAGTTATTCTGCCCAGAGGGGATAAAGTCAGATAATGGGAAATGAATGAGAATCAAAAATTTCCTCTATGTTTTCATATTACATTTCTTCAAGAATAACATTTAGCCTCTTTAGTAGCTTGTCTTTGCCAACACAAAGGAACTGAGACCTGGAAGCACTGGGCCCTCCGGGGAGGTGCGGATGTGGAGGCTTGGGAGTGGAGTGAGGTGGGTGAGAAGGTGGTAGGAGGTGCTGAGGTCAGAGAAGTGGAAGGGTTCAATTATGGAGTGCTTTGCATATTGTAGAGGGCTACTTCTAATGTTGGTAATAATTTGTTTCTGAACATTTAGTGAGACTAATAACTTTGCTTATATACCTTGCAGGTAATGGGACAGGACAATGTCCCATTCATTATCTCTCATGACCATCACAGCAGTTTGGAGGTGGACTGGTGGCTGCCCCAGGTCACACAGTTAGACACAGGGATGAAGCTTTCTGAGGGTACCTTCTTTCATTTACCTGCTGAAAACAATTGGGATGACAGACCATGAATAACTTGTTATATTTGGGCATTGAGATCATAACTGATAATCTAGTTGGTAATGAGATTTTTGAACTTGATGAAATTTAATTCTGGGGTTATTGCTTCTGACTTGAAGAATTTAGACCACTAACTTGAGTGGGAATGTGTTTCTGCTTGGTTGGAGCTTGCTTAGGCTTTGCAGTTTCTGGTACCTCAAGTATTATTGGGCAAAATTCAATGAATCTGGCTCTGTAGAACTTTTGAGAGATGTTCCATCCCCAGGCAGTGTATGAGCACTCAGAGGGAGGAGTTCCATAGACTTCAGTTATTCCGCCTATTATTCCCTAATTATTATAATAAATATATTTATGTTATAAATATAATATTTTTATATTTAAATAATTCTATTCAAATATATATTTAAATATATCAGAAATATATTATAGACATAATAATAATTATACAATTATCATATAATTATTATACTAATTATTATTCCCTAAGCCACAGGAGGGTTTCTAGAGAGAAGAAAGCCTCTTTTACTGAATCCTCAAAGGAGGAGACTTATTCATTTCTCTCTATCATCTTTTTCTATGTGAGTTTATAAATTTTCAGTCTGTGGCCTTAAATTTGGAAAACTGAGCTGTAAAATAATGCTTGGGTCTGATTCACATTTTCAAATGGCATAATAAACTGTTGTGTTCTAAAATAGTTTATTTTCTAAGTCTTTTCTTTCAACAAATTGTAAGTTGCTGGAGGGCAAGAAACTTTTTTCTACGTCTTGTTTTCAATTACTGTCTTTCACCGTTTTGATATTTATATCTTGATTTTAGAAGATGTTGATGAAAACTTTGTATCTCATGAGTGATTAACAGTTGGACTCTGAAGGCAGGTGACCTAACTTTTAAAATTCTACCTCTGTCACTTGCTAATTGTGCAGTCTTGGGCAAGCTCTATAACTCCTCTAAGCCTGTTTCAGTTTCCTCAACTGTAAACTGGAGATAACATTTGAAATTACCCAATATGTTTATTGAGGAATTAAACTAGATATTGCATCTAAAGCACTCGGCACAGAGCTTAGCACACACATGTTCAATAATTATTTGCAGATCATCATCATTAATCACTACTATCATCATTGTTGCTTTTTGTCACTTTTATTTCCATTTGTTTTATGTTGAAATTAGTCCTGGGCACCATAAGATTTGTTTCTTTAGTTTCTTCTGGGATATCTTTTCCTTCTGTGCAACCTCCTTTTCTGGTTTAGGAACGATCTGTTCTTTTTCAGTAAGGATCATCTCAATGTGGCAGGGAGAGCTCATGTATGGGTTAATCTGACTTTGAGCTCTGTAAATTCTGCAATGCATCTTAGGGACTTTGTTGACCTGAATGTACTCAATGACCAGAGAATCTTTATCTAAGCCTTTAAGTTCTGTGTTACTCTGCATTTTTAAGAATGCATAGTAAAATTCAGCACTCTTTCTGGGCCACTGGCCCTGCGTCCAGCCCCATTGTTTTGCTGAGGCATACATATCAACTCCATCATTGTAATGACCGGAAAGGTATGCACTGCTTTTGTAGAGTGACATCCTTTAGGTACTTGGAGACTTGTCAGATATGCATACCTTTGATGGTCTAGGAAGTTTCAGGAGTGTTTTTAAAATGAACACAAAAATTTGAACCTCTTGATGTGCATGACTGTAGGGGTTTTCCATCTCAAGTGAATAGCAAACCATTTTCAGAGATCACCTAAGGCCTTATGGGAAGAGGCTGTCAATGTTGTTTTTATTGTTTTCATCATCCTTGGGGATGGCTGATACTAATGCAGTTAAGTGTTAATTTTGGTAATTTTTAGCCTGGAACGAAATTCTTGGTTTTATGCCACAGGGATTTGTCCTTGGTTTTATCCTGTACGTATAAATGTCCTGTAGATATCATTGCCTAGTTTTATCATTTCATTAAAGGTTTGAGCTTCTTTTTTAACTAGTCATAAAGATAAAAGGAATCAGCAGGTGGGCAGATTTGTTGGATCATCCAACACTGTTCATCATTTTGTAGTTGATGACTCTTATGATAAACTTCAACTTAGGGAGAGTATTCCTTATTTGTGAGTTTCTTTATTTCTTTGGGTTTGACCTGAAAAACCAGTTATATCACTTTATTTTCCACTTAAAAGACCTAAGCCAAGTTTCTTTCTGACCAGTGAGTTTCCCTTTTATCTTCTTCCTTCACCTATTTTTCCTCTCCTCTCCCAGATATTATGTTCTCTTCTGTTTTTCCTTCCATGCTGTTCTTCCTTTCATTAAGTTAGTTAGATAACTGAATTCTAGCTGGAATTTTTCATAGCTTAATAATGACTTGCATAGTAGTATACCTTTCAGATCATACATCTGTTTAAAATGTACTAACAATTGGTGCTCTAGCCAAAAGAAGGTTAAATGGCAAGAATTTTGGAACTTGTAGCAGACTGGTACTAGGGAACTGTCTTTTATTAGGAACCTCAGCACTGCAGGTGGTTCTAGTGATAGCAGAGGGTGAGCAGACCTCTAAGTTTCCTTTTTAGGGTAAGGGTGAGGTCTTGGCACAGAGATTAGAAGTTCATTGATTGAATGCAGTGAGATCAGGTCAAAAAATTGGTTATTGAAGTTATTGGACTCTGCTTTTATCCTGAAATCAGAAAAATCTGCTGGCATTCGGATTTGATCTCACTTAGCTGGAAGTCTCCTGGAGGTAGTGACTGGATTGTATTGCCCAATCTATGACTATACAGGTCATGTAGACCAAAGAAGGAATACTGGGTAAAAATAAATTTTAAGAGAGTAATTAGCTAGCAATATAAGATGCCACTTAAATAAATTGGAGAGTATACTTTTCACCTTAAATATGCATAAGGATCTCAATTTATATCATTATGGTTCTCATTCCCTTCTAAAGTGAGATAAACTGGGATATTTTGCTCTTATTTTTACTGTAGAAGTTATATATTTCTATTGGTCATCTTCCATGTTTTTTTTGGGGGGCAAGTAATTATGTCAATTATATCACAAGGAGTGATTAATAAAAAGATGATGAATTAAAATGGAAGGAATTTTAATAGTGGTATTAACTCGGTTGTAATTGCTTTATTCATTGCAGGGGAAAACGTAGCATGACAATGCACCAGTGTATTTTTACAAATGCATGCTTCCTTTATGCTTTAGGGAAGGGAGGCCACAGACAGGATGATGAGACGAAAAAGAAAATAAGAGTATTTTCTTACTTGAGTTTCAAAATACAGTTTGGACCCAGGGCAGAAACAATAGTGAAAGAAGAGTAAAAAGAGAACAGTCAAATTTTTGCCCTGACCTTGAGAGGGGGTTAGGAGAGCTATGGGAAGCCAGTGGACCCTAGGAGTCTACAGGGCTGGAAAAGGGAAATAGAACTGGAATTTTGCTGGGTAGTGCTAGGAGGGTCCTGGTGAGAACACAGATGTCAGGCTCAGTGGATGCAGCATGGAATGATAATGACATCCTGTGACTATGGGGATGAGTTACGTCTCAGGGGCGGCCTGTGTGGATGGATGACAGACCTGACTCCTCAAGGGCCTTGACATTGTGTCGTCTTCCCCATCCCCACCCTGCTCCAGGACAACTTTTAGATAAAAGAGAAATGCAGAATTGACTGAGTTCACTAAATAAATATTGCCTAAGATGAACACTTATGTCCCCGGTGGAAAAAGGATTTAAGATAGACATTATGTTTGGTTTTAGAAAAATACAGTTATATTTGTGCATATCTGATTTTTTTTCTTCTTGCTAATGCTTTTAGAGAAAAGCACTGAAGGTGACAGACTAATGGACTAAGTGGGCTGTTTTCAGGTTGGAAAAAAAGCACTCCTGTGCAAGGTAGGGAATTTAGATTTTAGCCTTATCGTTGTTGCTATTTGACCTTGGGCACATTATTTTCTCCTCTGGGTTTATCTGTCTCCATCTGTGGGCTTGGCCAGAGTTGAAGCTTCTTAACTTAGTGACTGAGCTTCCTTGGACAGGTTGAAGAGTTTTTCTAAGACATCTTGAGTCCCTGTGTGAACAAATCATTGTCTGTAGATGGAATAAGTAATATATTTTTGCATATAATTACTACTGATTTTTTAAATGTGCTTCTTTCTGTGTTTAATAAAATGTGATTAATTCATTTAAAAGCACCACTACTTTTGTTTTCTTTTTGTAATTTATTATCTTCTCTATTAGGCAATACAAAAATTGTAGCTATTTAGAAATCATAGGGTCCTCTCAGCCTAGAATTTATTCTAAAATGTAGTTTCTCAAAAACAAAAAGGCAACCCATGGATTGGGAGAAGATATTTCCACAGCACACGTTAGAGAAGGAGTAAATTTCTAATATATATAACAAATTCATACAACTCAACAACAAAAATCAAACAACACAATAAAAAAAGTGGACCCAAGACCTAAACAGGTACTTCATCAAAGAATACATTCAGATGGCCTATAGGCACATGAAAAAAAAGATGTCAGACATCACTTATTTTTTTTAAAGATTTATTTATTTATACAAGAACTAGGGTACAGGCCAGAGGTGCAGGAGGGTGAGAGAATTCACCAGAGACAAGAGTGGGAAGCAGAGTAGGCAGGTGGACCAAAAACACTGCTAAGGGGAGCAGCAGGCAAGACAGGAGAGGTCTACCACGCCATGTGGGAATCTCCCTGGCCATCCGGGAATCGAACCTGCGCTTGCAGAGGCTGCAGACAGCTTCACAGTGCTGCGCTCAACCTGGTACGCCACCAGAGAGGCCCAAACATCACTTATTATAAGGAAAATGCAAATCAAAACCACAATGAGTTATCACCTCATACCTGAAAGAATGGCTCACATCAAAAAGACTGGAAATAGTTAATGGTGAGGATGTGGCGAAAAAGGAGCACGCTGTCACCATTTGTGAAATGTAATTTGGTGCAGGCTCTATGGAAAATGGTGTAGAGGTACCTGAAAAATAAAAATGGAAATACAGTATGATCTATCAATACTGCTGCTAGGTATTTACCCAAAGAATAGGAAAATGGTAATTGTGAAAAGATTTATGTTCAAAGCAACTTTATTTATGATAACTGAGTCATGGATCCAACTTAAATGTCCTTTGACAGACAACTGAAAAGAAACTGTGGACTATGTACTCAATGGACTACTACTCAGCTATTTAAAAAGATGAAATCTCAAGATCCATGATTATGCTAAGTGAAATAAGTCAGAAAGTGAAAGACAGTTATTGGATAGTTTCACTCATTTGCAGAAAATAAATAACTATAAATAAATAATAACACCAGC